CTTTTTCTTAATCTCGTGGATTATTGTTTATCCAATACTAAATAGTAAAGTTTAAAGAAAGGCCCATGTTCGTCAGATTTATGCACCAACCCAATAATAAGTTTTAATTTCGTAAGATGATATGATAGCAATGACCTAGGAGGTGATGTCTGAGAAGACGACTGCCCTTGAACAATCTTGACGGATGGCCCATCGATCGTCTATCATTTGGCGTAAAAAATGGTAATTGCTAGCAAAACGTTGGCAGAATGGTAGGAACTTAACGTAAAATGCCGTCTTACTCAAGGACGTCCTGCCCGTTCACGACCTCACGTCACAGGCCAGTACTCTCACGAGTAGCAAAGTAAGTAATGAGGTTTATACTTACCACAAGCGAATTCTTCGCAGGTTTTCCCAGTATGCGGATGAATACAGTGACATTGACCACCGGCATAAATTCCACCATTACGACATCTTGATTTCGGATCATTTTTTCGAATATTATCGAATATATCACGTTTGTTGATGATTTTCAGCGCCCTGAACATAAGAAGTATCTTCTGTAGTCTTTGGAGACTTAAGTTGAACATAAACAAAAAATTCTTAACTTGTAATTTCTAATCATATTTGAAAAGTGGATATTAATTCGATATCGTCATTTTTGCGAGCATTTTTAAATAATGTATCGATATTACGGTCAAAAAGCTCAGGTTCACCAGCGAAAGCGAAAACAGCACCACCCAAGTGGTAGGACGGTTGCGAGTTTGGAGTTATTAAAGGCGCAGTACATGATAAAAATGGTTTAGGATGAATTCGATGACCCCTCGTACCATATCTGGCGCTATTAGGTCGATAACGGTCTAGTTAGTGTGCTGGCGGTTCAGTGGATTTTATATACTCCGGTTAATTGGGAGTAGAATGAACAAGTAAATAGTGAGCGCGGACGTTACCGCTAGTAAAGAACAGAAGAATGGCAAATAAGTCTTTATCTCAGTACAAAACCTACGTCTCGCCCTTGACGTTGTTCGAGGTAGAAGTGAGGGACCCACTTATCTCGGGGCCGCTTGACCCCGCACCGTTCAGGGGCGTAGGNTAAGCTAGAGGGAGTCGTCTTAAACAGTGAGACGACGAGATAGTAGTTAAGGTGAGGTGATCGTCGCCTTAGACGACGATAGTTAGGCTGTTATAAAGGCTCAAAGATTTTACCGTATCCTCAAACGAGTTTCACTGTAGAGGCTGCACCGATCACTAGGGAACCTATGTAGGATGTTCAAACAACTTGTCACGACCCATATCAACAGCGAAAGACAGTTCTGTACAACTCTGGGTTGATGTGCTATTTGCGCAACTGCTACAACTGAAATCTCGTCCGGATACCCTTTCTATGTTATTTCCTTCACGACAATCCCGTCCATCCCCTACTTTCGATTTTTTCGAGAAGCTATTTTTTCCTTGGAATAGGCGAATTCTCTCGTTTTCTTCACTCTTACTCCCAATCTATACTTCTGCTTCTCGAATAAAAAGGGTTACCTCAAAATTATCGTGAACTGGCCGTAAACAAAGAGAGACAAGATCAAAAACCACTCGTACAAGCCCCTGGTTGTTTGGTTTTTGATCCAGCTCTTCTTTGTTTTCAGCCCTTCGACCCACCGTCTGCCTCTCTCCTCCCTCCTAGTACTGCCTCGGCTGGCACGCCGCCCGGCCGGCCGGCGGACTATGAAAGCAACCAGTGACACCACTAGTCGGGCGTCNTCCTTGGAATAGGCGAATTCTCTCGTTTTCTTCACTCTTACTCCCAATCTATACTTCTGCTTCTCGAATAAAAAGGGTTACCTCAAAATTATCGTGAACTGGCCGATTGGTTTTTGATCCAGCTCTTCTTTGTTTTCAGCCCTTCGACCCACCGTCTGCCTCCCTCCTCCCTCCTAGTACTGCCTCGACTGGCACGCCGCCCGGCCGGCCGGCGGACTATGAAAGCAACCAGTGACACCACTAGTCGGGCGTCGCCTTCAATCTCCGCATGTGGGCACGTGACGCAATTTCGCGTGCAATCATAAAATTTATTGCAAGCAAATTGACACACGAGGTCGTCTCTGAACGTATTTATCAGGGAAATGTCGCTCACGCGCTAACTTAATCGACGTGAAAAAGTGCTCAAGGTATTAGGAACATTTACTGTCTCCCAGAAAAAGTTTCGTCCATTGGGTGATGGGTTAATAATGTGTGTCGGTCGTTGCCTAACAGTTGCAATCATCTAAATGGAGACCGAACATCGTTTCCCAGAATGTTACGTTGTGGTTCGACGAGGACAATATGTTCAGGGAAGGTTTTCGCTACATCTTCTCCAACGAGTTCAAGCTGGGCAGGTCGCAACGGACACAGCTCTGAATACCAACGCTTATGAGCGGGGTCATCACAAAATCGCATACGACAACGGTTCCAGACGTAACGTTGTGTCGATATCAGCCCGACGATGAGAAAGTTCGCGACCGCCCTTTTACAGTTAAGGATCACGTGCGGAAGACAATCATTGAAGGTGGACCGCTCGAAACAACTTAGAAGGTTGCCTCAGAACCATGCGACATTTGTTCGCGACGTTAGGAGAAAACCGAGATCCCTCCCTTGATCATAGTGTTATGTAGGATGAGAGCTGAATCCTTCCCGACAACAGGAAGCGCTTCGCTCAATAGGCATGCAAGGAAGGGATTCAGAACACTTCCTAAAGCCAAAAATTCACCAATTACAGGTGAAAACCAACTACAACTTCATGAAACTTGTCGAGACCATTATGGCAGGGAAGTTCTGCAAGAAACTTTACGACATTCACTCTCCAAACCCAGCTCCGAATTCCTTCGACTGTCACAAACGGAAAGAATTCGATTTCTTTAGATGGCATGTTCGCCCAGACCTTTCGAAGGCGACGCTACCGAAGTTGGTCGCGTTGGTAGGCTGCGAGACTCAGCCTTAATCACAATATTCGCCAAACCATTCGGAAATTACGCAGTATGACTAGGCAAATTTGTGTCTCGTTGGCGAAGACTCTACATTTTGTAAAGCATAATCTTTAATGACTCTTGCTTCGATTGATAGGTCGATTTCAAGGTGAGTAATAAAGTTTCGAAGCAGCTGGTAGGATATGAACCTTGTTCGTGTACCAACCTATTACCATATGTCGATCGCTACGTTAGATGGTCGTTTAGGTTCAGCTTTTCCGACTTTTCCGACGATGAACAATATAGGGAAAATTACAAGTTCCCTGCACCCTGTCTCCTCATCTCCANGGGCAGAAATAGGTTTGGATTGTGAAAAAAGATGATTGGATTGGTGTGATTGGTGAAAAAGGATGGATTTAGAGCTATAATCGAGTGGTACTAAACGTTCCTCATAGGATTTCGATCTGTGGGTGAGGAAAGGAAATCAACTTACTTGCGGAACGTACCTTGTGAACTTATAGTAGGCGTTATGTTATTACATTGAAAACCCTCTATAAATCGTTCACTACAAAAGTGCGCTGGCATAAATACTGGATGACATTGATATATTGACCAGCATAAAATCGGTAGATAGGATGGTACCGGTTTTTCTTCCTCACTCCTAAAGCGGACGGCCAACCCAAGTACAAGCGCCTGCCACGGGTCGAGTAGCGTGGGTGACAGCGCCTTGGGTGGCTACCGCTATGCCAGCATAGGTGTCACGAAAAACTCGTAAGCCTAGGGCAGGTGTTCGGCGAAAACTTCGCTTTCGACGTGGTGGTACACTCCCATTGCAGGAACGCGTCATTAGCAGCAACGATAATTCAATTTCGAGAAAAAAAAATCGAAAAGAAACCGGTGGGAATTTGAAAAAAGATGATAAAGTAAGGAAGAAACCAAAGTGCACATTGAAAGTCGTACCTTTCCGAGTTTTCAATGCCAGTGGTGAAATGCTGTGAATAGACAGCTTGTCCAGTGAGTAATAGTAAAATTAATGACGGAATAAACAACATTATTGGTAGTGATCGGGTATTATTCACAGAAAGTCGAGTACTTTTGGTGAATTCGTCAGATTGTTAGGAATCAGATTCCAATAGCATTTTGTCGAACGAACACACACGCTCTAGCAATCGCTTGAACCTCGTTTGACGAGACTCATAATAGCCACGGCGATCAACGACGACCTTGAGCACAAGAAAATTACTAGTTAGAATATCAAAGGGTGGCTCGATTCGAACTGCGAAATCCCAACAGATAACGGGGTAGAAGCCTTCTTGATATCGTGGTGTTCGTGTGTTTAAAAGAAGTATAAATATAGAAGCTGAAGGCTCCCGGGAGTCTATATTAATTGTAAACTGTACTATTGATTGACTTTCCCGAAGCTGATTGTTTTCAACGAATTTTGCCGAAAGAACTGGAAATCATACTGTGCCTTTATTTGAAGAAGCATTTTTCGGATTTTTAGGCATTTTTATTATTTTTGTTGAAATGCCCAGTATGAAAATGCAGAAGTACAAAGAACACAACTGAGAAAAATTTGTAAAAATTCAAAAAAAAAAGTTCGAGACCAAAAAAAATCACTGATGGTTAATATACCACTAAAGACTTTTCTGAAAATTTCTGTTTTGATGAATTAATGAGGCTAATCAATGAGGAAAAATTAGATAATAACAAGTAAATATTCTTCACCACAGTCAAACGCAAAATAAAGAAAAATAAGCAAAAATAACAGGCAGTAAAAAATGGTGATAACGGTGAAAATATGATCGGCACATAGGCTAAGGCACAATGGTGAAATAAATGGAAGGCTCTCGCAGTTTCGCTACCCCACATACGCAGAAAAATCGTACTTTGCATTTGAAAGAAAATAATAAAAATACGAAAAAAATCCAAAAAAATGCTTTTGGGAATGAGATGCACAGTATGATTTTCCTTCTATTCTACTATCAATATTTCTAAACGTTTTATTCGATTTTACGGGACATAAAATAACCAACTTATAATCAATTTATTTTCGATATTTTTAATGTTTTGATTACTATAGGTTTTTGAATTTTGGAATTTAATCGAGATAGAAATAATAAATAAACTGGTGAACATGTAGCTTGGGGTAGGGAGCAAGGAGCACAGCTCTTCTTCAACGCTGAGCGCAAGCGCAGAGAAAGGAAGGTAGCTAACTTTGTGAGCCTATAATGGTGCTTAAAAATTTTCTTAGTTGGGAAATCATAATTTCTTTCACCTCAGTCACGAGGAAAAGAGCACCGGCGTAGCCGAGCCAATCGAATGTTCAATTCTTTCCCATTCCAGCTTTTTGCACAATGCAGTCACCCCACCCACCTCGGTGCTCTTCCCCTCCTCGCTCAGGTAAAAACTATATTATTTGGATAAGAAACAGCTCTTGGCGTAAGTAAAGTCAGTTCTCCTAACTATCCGAAAACTAACGTTCAATGTCGGATAGGAGCGGTGGCCCTCCACTACGTTTCCATTAATAGATTCAATAAAAAAGCCATTTAATAAGTTAATGGGGTATATACTGCAATGATAATGTCAATCTATGATTTTTTTCTTGGAGGGTAACGATTCGAGGTATAAAAGAGTGATAAAAGCCAGAGAGACGGGTCTGTGAAGGTTTTGTTTTTTATGGGTCCACTGGCAAAGCCTTTGGAGAGATAGTCGAGAAGGGTAGGTGAGTCGATAAGAACAATAACAGAGACGATCAATGCGGTCCGAAGATAGCGATCAGTATGGCGGACTGTTTGTGTGGAGAATCTCACTATGACTCTTACTTTGGCTAATACGATGTGACAATGTCGATAGAAGAGAGTTTTGGCCGAACGGAATGAACACTTTCTATGATTTGTGATACGTCAAAAATGGTGGGGGAAGAGTGAAGACACAAAAGAGGCTGGGTGTGATGTGATAGGAGAAAACAAATGGAATTCGGGCCAGCGAATTCTCTGCGAAAATACTCGTCGACACATTGCGCATCCATCGAGTCGTACACTTTGTCGATGGTTTTTGTCGATGATATGCCACTCTCCATACACTTCGTCCAATATTCAATGATACGGGACTGTCAATGACAAGCTCAGCTGGAAAAAAACCCTCAACCCCATGACCGGTCAATTTGGTCGAATGAACAATGATCGTTTGATGGCATCAGGAAAAAACGGTAGGCGTTCGTAGTCGATCAGAAAATTTTACTGCTGAATAAAGTTTTCAACTTCCGTCACCTGCATGAAAGGCGCACTCCGGGTTCGGGTCCCTCCTGAGACCAAGATTTTGACTATAACAACAACCTTGTAATTGCGATCATAGGACTGTTTCGAACGAGTAGTTAGATAGTAAAAGGATTCGCCTTGTTCTAATCATTCGTCCAACCCCAGAAAAATGGCTCGAATTCGCTCAACTGGTAGACATGGACCGATCAGGCAATTAAAAAGTACTAGAGAGGTCTCTCCTTCCTTTCGCTACATGGCCTATTCGATGAGAGCTCGTGTTGAAGAAGGACAAGCGCTGACCGATCCTCTTTACCAAACCCCATTCAACTGCGAACGAGAATTTTGGCGTCTCTTAATCTCATTCGATTCGGAAGGGCCGGTGTCACTTCACTACACCCGATTCACCCTCCCATACCGGAACGGAAAGCTTCCCAGCCGCATTTGATTCAGAGCTTGGGTCCGATCCAGAGCAAGAAGTGTCTTAACAGCGCCTCTCCTCGTTACACCATGAGACCAGGCAGCACATTCTCCCAGACTTCCGAAAATTTTCAGAAAGAAGCTTCCCTTCACCACCACTCTGGTGTATTGAACTGAATAAACAAGTAAAAAACATTCCAAGAAGGGAGCGAACTACCTCGACCGGACTCCATTTACGCTTTGTCCTCTGGTGCAAGCACAGCATCTTCTTCGTCGTCCCCGGGTCGAAATCAGGGTTCTGCGCCATCTACCTGAAGTCCACTCCTCTTAAACTCGACCACTGTTAACCGTACCACTACGGTGCGCGCCATGCATAAGGACTCATGCGTCAAAATCACGAAAGGTATAGTACCGATGCAAACAGCTGAGATTATAAAGAGGGTAAAGAACTTCAAACCAACTCGTTTATCTCAGAATTATATTCAATTCAATACCAACAATTTGGTATTACAATTACATATACAGCTATATGACTAAAATATGAGGAACGACTATGTTGGGTGAGAGATTTAGAAACAATCATCGGGTTTGTGACATAAAAATGACAACGTCATGTCTGGTAAGTTGATTTTTCCCCAAAATTCCTCACAGAACACTTCAAAATCACAGCAAATATTAGTCAATTATCGAATCAGAAAGTGAATACGTTCAATAATTTGACAAGTGAATTCCATTGGACAACCATAAAAGAACACTGTGTAAAGGCTCATTCAGAATGGAGCAAACATCGTAATTTAACCATTTTAAAAATGTGATTGAGGAATTTCTAGTGTGAAAAATCTTTGCGATTTCTTTTACACTACAACCGAAATTTCTATAAAATATTTTGTTCAATTCCTCAAACACTTTCATAATAGTAATAATAATAATATTGCAGAAATAGTTCTATGTACACGCGTTAGCAGTAATCGTGAATAACTTTCGAACAAACAACGAATAACAAAACACAAATCCGTCCGACCTATTTAATCCTGGACACTGAGTTTCCAGAAACCGATTGTTTGATCACTGAAATTCACGATGAAGAAGAAAATTTGATAAAGAAGATAGAAAACTTCAGAGTTTTCGCTTCAGGCACTTTGAATTTCTTCAATGAAGTGGACAGAAGGCAGTTGTAGCCTCACTGAGACCTCGATCCCCCTTCCTTTCTTTCTGCTTTCTTTGAATTGAATCCAACCCAAAAATAAGGGACTCACTGATGGCAGAGATTTGTGTATTTGTGAACCACGCAGAAAACTATGGGAGCCAGGTGAGGGTCGCGCTATAAAGGGTCTGTAGGGCTATAACACAGCATACCCCTAGCCCACAAGCCTGAGGACGTCAAATCTCTGATAACTGCGCCAGAAATTAATAGTTTCCCTCTTACACCCACTGGTAACAGATAAGATTTCGATACCATGACAAGATCCTTCCGTAACGATTGGCCTGATCAACAAGTAGAATACGCAGATATAAAATTCGGACCAAAAGTTACAGATCTAATAGACAGGGCCAGGTAATGTATAAGTCGCTAATATGAATTCTTAGAGGAGTGAGCGATGATATCTTTGGCACCAAAAACTCACAGCAAAAATAAAAACAAACCTGGATGCTGTGAAAACCATATATTTATTGGAACAGACAGAATATATCGATTCACTGTGGGCTTTCGGCAGCTGTAAAGGAAGTTTCAAATTACAAGTTGACAGAGTAAGAAGTTCTCATGAACCATCACAAGAACCTACTTCTTCGACCAGCTTGAAACGTCTGGAAGTGGTGATATCCCAGAATTTCATTGTGCCTTCCTTGCAGACCGAACATAACAATGGTCGATCCGTGTGTGTCTGGAATAGGAGCTATGGATCAATCAATGATCAAACGATGCAAATTTCTAAAAACTAATGGGAGATATCAATTTATCTTAACTAGTGGGACTTAGAACTGTTAACGGTCAGTGAAAATGGGAAGTAGAGGAGGTGAATTCAGAGTAATACAGTAAAGAGAACTAGCCAATCAAGCCTCCTCTTCCAATACATGGGCTAATACCTCAGATTAAAGAATGATCAAAACAAATTGACTGATTCTGGTGTCGATCGCCCACACCAGCTACATGAACCATGCACGAAATCTTGACGATCCCAATAAGGTCTCCATTTACAGGAACATCCCATGGGATATTCCAGCTCGAACAGCAGTTTTCACCCGAATCTGTGACAAGTAGTACAGATCTAGCTATAGGAACGTCTCTTAGGAGTGTATTTATAACGACCGAATAGAGGTTATGAAGGCTATTTTATTTCAATTGCTGTAGCTTGGAAAAACCATAATTTATCTCA